TAGATACCAAAGCACCAGGTGATGTTAACTACATGATAACCAGACTAGTACCCAGGACTTGAGCTGACACAATTCCGAGAACTGACCACAGAGAAATGGGAACAAATGCACTCTGCAACTGAAGATTAACTCTACTTAAAACAACCAAGATGATGCTAGTCAGGCCACTGATGACCAATCTGAAGATGACTATTACAGATGACTGTGCTGTTTCTGCATGTTGCCCTCTCCCACCCCTCCCCTGCCGACTCTGCCTATAAATCTCTCAACCTCTTCTTATCAGGGGGGGAGTTGGCCTTTGGACAGATGTCTGCCACCCTCCCCCCACACTGTTGCCAGCATCTGAAATAAAGCAAACTTTCTTTTCCACCAACCTGGCCTGTTTACTGGCTTTTGAGTGGCGAGTAGCTGGACCCACCATGCATACCTTTTGGTAACAGCTTCACAATAAAATACAGGGTAACATTATCCAGTAAACTGTCTTTTTTTTTTAATAATACAGAAATAGTTAAAAAATAGTGTATTAAATTTCACTACGTAAACCCAGCAATAATGCTAACATCACATCCTACTCAACGGCAGGATCTTAAATCTCTTAAGCTATATTTTGAAGCGTGAAGTATAAAATTCTTGTGTAAATATTTTCCGGGACAAAAAAACTTATAAAATACATTACTCATTTGTTTATGCTCTTTGAGTTGTTCCCTGTAAAAAGGTGCCGTGATACCACTAGTCCTTCCAGGACACCCTGGTTTCTCCCTCTTCTCCTTCTAACACCTCATCCCCACCTCTCCTTCCACATGGCTTCCATCAGATCATCTTCTCCCAAGGAATATGCATTTCTCACTGTTCTAAATGCTTTTCTTGAGTCTTGATTCATTTTCTTTCCATTTCTGATTCTACTACTGCACCAACCCTTTTATCTGTGTGTCTGGGGTCCAAACTCATCAAGAATGGTGACTTAATGGGTTGATTAGGAACCATTCAACACAGGGTTCTGTCTCTTTGGGGCAGAGTTTTCGATGCTACTTGTAAGCTAGTGTTCCAGATGATTGATAAAGTGTGGTCTGGCTTCACCTGGAAGCTTGTTAGAAATGCAGACTCTCAGACCTCTCCCCAGAACTCCTGAGTCAGAACTTGCATGTTAACAGTCACATACATGATAATGTTTGAGAAACACTGACCTAATTGCCCCTTCTGATCACTGTGGCAGATTCCCAGATGATACATATACAAGGTTTGGGAAGCACTGATGGAGTTGTCATATTGTGTATTGTTATGACCAGGCGCAGAGTCACATGGCAAAGGCATAGCACTGGATGCGTAAGGAACGAAGTCTGCTTTTCTCAAAAGGTGATAGCATAACAAGCAGGCATGTTTGAGGCTTTGTAGCCATTGGATTTAGACATGGCTCAGAAGACTGAGACATGGACTAATGTCTTAAAGAAGAAATACCATGGACAGCGCTCGACCACTGGTCCTTGGGATGAGAGCCTTTGTAGGTGGTGGAAAGCGCAATCAAAGGGCAGCTGGTGTGGTTTGTCTCACTCTATCACCACTGGGCTCTGGGAATTGAAATTGTTACTTTACCTTTCTGAGCCTCAGTTTTCTCATTTGTAAAACAGGGATGCCAGTACTCATTTAATACATAGTTTTGGCAAGTTACTGAAAAATGTATCATTAGACAAATAGGTGTTCAATAAATGTTAGCCCCTTCCTCTTTTTTTTTCTTTTTTGTCTTGTAATAACTCAGTAGTTAGTAAAATAAGGTCCTTGAAAAAGTAAAAATAAAAAGATGCTTCTAGCTGGGAGTTAATGTCCATAGTTATGATACCAAGGCTGTCAGAATTGGTGCTGGTAGTGGGGGTGTGGAGTAAAGAGTGTGCCCACTCTCGCTGCCAAGGTCTTCATACTGTCTCATTAGTTGAAGGAGCTCTGGAAAGGGAACTGGAGGGCAGATGTGCTCAGATCAACTCTCTGTATCTTCACCCTGCAGGGCGCGGGGGGGGGGGGGGGTGGGAGGCTGCACAGGCACTTGGGACTGAGCCTGGGATCTGGCTTCACACAGGGACCTCTGAGGAGCCCTTGTTTGGGAGTCAGTCTCCTAAAACAAGTCAGCTGTGTTCACTCCCCCTCTGGCTGTTAATTATATTACCACCCTGGGGGCTGAGGCATTGCCCCGAGCCAGTCTCGCTTCTCTCTGTGGCTGGATTGCACCCCTTTGTGGTACAGCCTTTCCACCTACAGCCCAGTCTGATTTTGCACAAAGTGTCGGCCAAGGCTTGCATCGTTGCTGAGACTTCAACTCTAGTGGGTTTTCTTGTTTCCCTGAGCTTTGTTCTACATCCTCACACCAAACTTTTGCTCAACTCTTGGGTCTGTTGACTTCTTAGATCCTACTCTACCTTCTTTTGCCTTCATATGAGCTCGAATTCCAATACTCCTCTCTTCCATGCCATAAGTCTAAAAGCTAATTTTAATCTGCATCAGATCATGTAAGATTATATTTTAACTTCCCTTACAGGATTTTATGTTACCTGCACTTGTTTTTAGTGGTTTCCCTAGTGGCTCAGTCGGTAAAGAGTCTGCCTGCAATGCAGGAGACCTGGGTTTGATCCCTGGGTCAGGAAGATCCCCTGGACAAGGAAGTGGCAACCCACTCCTTGCCTGGAGAATTTCATGGACAGACGGGCCTGGTGGGCTATACTCCATGGGGTCACAAAGAGTCGGACACAACTGAGTGACTAATTTTCACTTTTACACCTGCTTTTAAATACATTCACTTCAGGGAATTCCCTGGGGGTCCAGTGCTTAGGAATCGACACTTTTACTGCTGAGGGCTCAGGTTCAACCTCTGGTTGGAGAACTAAGATCCCACAAGTTATGTGACTCAGCCAAAAAAAAAAAAAAAGACATTTACTTCAGAGTAGCTCTGAAAATTTAAACCATACTTGAACCAAAGGCCAGATAATGCTCAATAATTATCTGGTACTCCCAGGACCGCAGCAGTGGCCAGTGGCCCCCATGAGTGGGTGTGGAGATCTGCTGACAAGAGCAGTTGTGAGAGTGCAATGCATTCTGTGGGATCTCAATATTAAATTTTATTGAGTTTCTAATTTGCTTTCCGGGCACAGGGTTTGCCAGAGTTGATTCTCTCTTTTGCCTTCCATATTCCTCCCTTCAAGGTAACTTACCCCCATCCTTGTGGCTGGACCCAGACACTCGGGCGAGTAATTAGGGGGGTATTAAATTATTGGCTCAACATGTAAAGAGAGCAAAGGCTGAGTGCCACGCAGGAGGGACGCAGAACAGCGGAGAATCCCTGATGCCAGGGCTCCTTGTCCCGTCTCTGCACCGGAGCTCTTCTGCCCTGACCCCACTCCTACCCACCCTGCTTCCTAGCCTGCCTCCTGCTCCTCGCCTAGAATGTGGTCTGGTGACAACTTCTGCCTCTCCAGCAGGCCCTTGAGTTCCACTCCTTGCAACCTGTTCATGGAAAGTTCCACCTCCACCTACACACTCTGCTTCTTTCTGCGAGGTCACCTGAGCGGCCACCGCGGTGGTCTGTTCCAGTCCCTCCCGTGCAAGTGTGCCTGGGCCCCAGCCTGGCCAGCCCTTCCCCATTTCTGGTTGGGGCCGACAACAAGGCCGGATTTTATTAGCTATATGGCCGCACTCACTGCCTATTCTAAGTGGCTGGTGTGGTGTGGGAAGTATTAGCAGAAAGGGGGAGTCCCCCTTCACTCCAATCTCCCCTCCCTCACACAAAGGCTTAGATTCCTATATCCATCCTTTCACCTTAAGAGTGATAACCCCTACTGCTTGAATTTTTTTCAGTTCCTTTTAACAATTTTAAACTATCCATGCTCTTGCTAAAATTTGTGTGTACATCTTACACTTCTACGAAGCACGACCCTGGTCTGAGCACGAATGAACTTTAAAAAATAAAGTTAAAAGCAAAAACAATTGAACACACGCACACACACAAACGTTTGGCAGATTTCCTGCACCGAAAAGAAAAAACAGCACTCCCCCCGCCCCCCGCCCCTCCCCGGGCCCACCCTGCTCCACCCCTAAGTTCCCTGATAAAGGTTTCCGAGGGGAAAGGCTAGCACTGGGGTTGTGTCTCTCAGAGGGTTAAGTCTCTCTAGGGTACACTTTTGTTGTTGTTTGTTAAATCAGCATCTCTCCGGGGGCACATGGCCAAGACCCAGGTAACCGTGTAATGTGATAGGAGTGTTTTTCTAAGTTCTGCAAAGACACAGCGCTTTCCGATGGCCACAACAATGTAATTCGCGACCTGGCCCGGGCCCTGGTCCCCGGCTGGCGCGGGGCGGTGTCTCGGCCGGAGCTCCGCGCGGCCCCAGGTGAGTCCCGCGCGCGCCCCGCTCCCGCGCACGCGGGAGGGGCTGGAGCGGAGGTGGAGGACGGGCCGCGGGGTGCGGGGGGTGGGGTGGGACGGAGATCCGGGCCCGACTGCAGCTTCCTCCGAGCGGAGCCGCATTTCCAGCCACCTCCGCAGCCCTGCCCTCGCGCGCCGAGCCGTTCGCGGCCGTGCCGCCTGGAGGCGCGGAGCCCGCCCGGCGCGCCCAGCCCTGCAGCTCCGGCCGGGGCGGAGGCCGCCGGACCGCGGAGATGCGGGGCGGGGGCAGGGCGCGGGGTAGGTGATTTTATCCCGCCTCTGTTTCCCTGCCCCGGGGAGCAATGACATCACGCGGCCTTCTCCCGGCGCCGACACAAAGAGCGGCGCGGAGAGGCCGCTGCGGGGGGAGCCGGCGGCCGCCGCTGCCGCCCAGGGCCCTCGGGCCCCGCCGGCCAGGCCCGCCGCCCGCGGCCCGCGCCCTCCCTCCGCCGCCGCCGTCGCCGCCGCCGCCTCGGTCACCGCTGCCCGCGCCGCCCGCGCCCCCAGCGCGCCGCTGAGCCCGCGCCCGGCCGCGCCGGCCCCTTCCCATGCGGGCGGCGCGGGCCCTGGGAGGGGCGCCCGCAGCCAGCCGCGCAGCATGCACTGGGGGGTTGGCTTTGCCTCGTCCAGGCCGTGCGTGGTGGATCTGAGCTGGAACCAGAGCGTCTCCTTCTTCGGCTGGTGGGCCGGGTCCGAGGAGCCCTTCTCCTTTTATGGGGACATCATCGCTTTCCCTTTGCAGGATTACGGTGGGATCATGGCAGGGCTGGGCTCCGATCCCTGGTGGAAGAAAACCCTTTACTTGACCGGGGGAGCTTTGCTGGCCGCAGCTGCGTATCTGCTCCACGAACTCCTGGTCATTAGGTGAGCCGGAGAGAGGGCCCCGCGCAGGGGCGCAGAGAGGGGCACCTGGCTAGGGCCGAGCCGGCCCCTCGGTCACGCCGCCACTGTGCCCGAGTCCTGTCCTTCCCTTTCGCCAGAGGCAGTCCGTGGTCACCCGGCCATGAGGGGCAGTTTCGAGTTGACAGGAGAATTAAACTGGTACCGGGAGGGGAAAACACTTGAATCCCTATCGTTTGGTGCTAAAAGCAAAAATTCTCTGGGTTGTTATGGAGCATACTAGTCTGTCATGAAGATCCCTAAGTGCAGTGTGTTTGCGACAGTAGAAGTAGGCCCTGTAGAAATACTAAGTTACATTTGTATGAAACGCCCTATTTGTTTATAGATGATAGTGCTGGAATATTAACCACTCACCTTAGCTTTTACTTAAAGGTTAGTTTTTCACTGTCCCTCCCCGAGTGTCAGCATCATCGAAAGGCTGGAATTGCACACGCTCCAGAGAGCTCTGGGTCCCTGTGAGGGATGCACAGCGGAGTGTGCGATTTTGATGCAGACTTAACCCGGTTATCTGCTAACCTGGCATTTAAAGCTCAGCACCGTCTTCAGGTTTAAATGCCATTGTTGTGCGAACAGGAGGGGATCTGAGGACTGAACTGGCACATGGGCGTGCACGGGCGTGCCGTAAACACTTGCATCTGCTGCCTGCCGCAGAATGTTTACACGATTCACACGGAAATAGCAGGAAATGGAGGCTCCGGCTGTTGGTACATTCAGCCGGACGCCAATCTTCGGGTAGAATAATACCGTAGGCTCCAGGGACTAGTGGTTTGGCTAATTGGTACAATTTATGGTTAAAATTTCCATGCCTTTTAGACCTCTGTCTCTGGGAGAGGACCGAAGAGCAGTTTTCAGTAGCTCAAAATGTCCTTGTTGGCCAGTATTTTCTAAAGAGAAAATGTGTCTGCATGCCTTTTTCCCATGGGGAATCCTACACAATAGGTTTATAAACAAAGACAGTGATAGGTGACCTTTAAGGGGCCTGCAGGGATTCCAGAACATTGTGACAGAATAACAGGTATTTGGAAAATTTCTAGTTTCAGAGAGAGGAAATCATTTAGGTTTGGGGAAGTGTATTGGCTTGCATATTTAGCCATCATTGAGAAGTTTTGCTTTAAGCTTATCATTGAATTCTCTCACTTAGCACAGTGTCTTGAATAACGTTGAACCAAATTTAAAAAAAAAATTACAGGAATTGTTTCCCTAGATTATTTTATATATTTGCCAGTTTTAGGACTCGATTTCAAGTTAGGTTTCAAGCTATATGGAAAACAAAAACATCTGTGCAAGTAACTGAAATGTCACCCACTTGTTCTGAAATTAAATTCCTGTCCAGAGTCTTTTGAAGATTCTGAACCAGGTGGCTTCTCACCAGTGGTCCGCTCTGAGGACGGAGTGAAGCACAGCTTCGGGGAATTGAGTCTAAAGCTCGCTTAAATGACCTTGCAGAAATGGGGAGGTGGGTGGCAGAGCTCAGAGTTGACCCTGGGAGCCGGCCATACCCTGGTAGGTGTGTGGTCGCGACTCTCCAGAGCTCTCTGCCCACTTGGATACTTATTTGAGAAAGTGTTTTTGATCTTTGGTTTATTCACTCTTGTTTCTTGACAGATGTTTATATTGAGTAGGGGAACCCTGTTGTAATGCAAATAATAAATAATTGCCCATTTCTGAGCCCCTAGTAGCGGGCTCTGCTTAGAAGTGCTTTACCTTCCGATTGCGTTTAGTCCCTCCTCTGCCACTGCCATTGAATGCTTGATCTCCACTTCTTAGATGAGGACGTTGCAGCTGAGGGAGGTTAAGCAATTTGTCCGAGACCACGCAGTAAGAGTAGTGGGATCCAGGTTCAAATCTGAGAGTGTGTGTCTTCGGCGCTCACACTGTTACTACTTTCTCCTAACAAGTACCACTTGTGGAGTAAGTTTTGATGGCAGAAAGAAAGGAGAATTGGGGCAGTTCCCAGGGAAGACAAGCCTGTGGCAGCGACCTGAGTCTTTGCGACTGCTAAGGGCACAGAAGGGATAGGGAAAGAAGACCCAAGAAAGCGGGGCACTGAGATTCGGAGGTTACAGGATAGAGGCCATCCCTTGATGTGAAATCCAAGTTTCAGTTGTCAGGGTACCTTAGGCAAAAACTCAGAACAGTCTGGGATGGAAAATCCATCTTGCAATGGCTACACTGTCTGAGTTTACTGTCAATCTTAGTCTTCACCACTGTACTTGGATTTCTTGCTGTGTTGACTTAACCGTAATCTATGGGTACGTCTCCAGAGTGGATAGTAAAGTTGACAGGTGAGAATTATTTAGGACGTTTATAAGTACCATATAGTAACTAAAGTAGGTACTTAGGATTTTTCTCATATTTTTCCCACCACAGTATTTTTAAAGACATATAGTCTCAGTCCTTTATTTTCCCCTAGTGGAAAGACACTTGCAGCTCTTCTGAATTCAGTCCAGCGTTTGGAAATGTGTTGTTTGTAAATTGAATGATACTGAAATGACATGTTACCCACAGCTTGTCTGCACTGTAGGCACAGGGGCTCAGCCCGCCCTAGAAAACTTAAGAGAATCAGAGCAGCCCCTGCGTGGGTCATGATCTCTGTAAACTACCAGCCCATCGACAGTCCACAGAGGCGCGGTCATCTGAGGTACCCTTCACCATGGGTGTAGGGCTAGTCTTGCTGCTCGACAGGTGTTCTCTTTCTCAGTCTTATCATAAGGCCGCTTTATGTCTAGATTCCCTGCTTCTTTGATCCCAAGTTAGAGAGTTTCCTGATGTTGAGGGAGGGCTCTGGAGCCAGACTGGGTTCAAATTCACTCTGCCTTAAACCAGCCATGTAACCCTGGACCCAAGAGTCAACTTGGTTACTAAGTGTGAAATGGAAATAATCTGTGAAATGCGAATAATAATAGCACCCTTCCTCACAGAGCTGATTACATGAGTTAACTCGTGACATGCTTAGTAGAATCAGTTAATTGTCAAATCTACAGAGTTTGACCGTATAGTGAGCATTCACTAAAAGATGGCCATCATTAGTTATTATAGGCTTTCATCAGAAAGTTCCGGGCTTGAGTGGCCTGAGTCAAACTGGCTACTTTAATAAAATCAACTGGGAAATGGCCCATTTTGGTGTAGTCGAAGTGCTTGGGAGTTTGGGAACTAGAGTTATTAACAATTTGATCTTAAATTGATACTCCTTGGGCAAATTACTTAACCTCTCTGAACTTCAGTTTCCTTGTCTACTATAAAATATAAGTATGGTATAATATACTAAATTTAGGGACTTCCCTGGTGGTCCAGTGGTTAGGACTCTGTGCTTCAAATGTAAGGTCCTTGGGTTCAGACCTTGGTCAGGGAACTAAAATCCCACATGGTGTGGCCAAAAAAAAATTTTTTTAAATGCTAAATTTAAACTATAATGATATTCACTCTATGGTGTTGCTGTCAGAATGAAATAATATATAGAATGTACACAAAGTCATTGGCATATGCTAGTTGCATCCATTTTTATTATGACAGAGTCCAAGTTAACCATCAGAACTAAGTTGTTCTGGCCAATGGAGCAGGGAATTTTATGTTTATCTTTTCTTCTTTCAGTTCTTTAATTTTTGCCTGGCTGAATTTACATGAACTTACTCTGACTTGAATTACTTGACTGGACAAGATCAGTTAATTGTCATATCTACAGTTTGCATTTTCTAGAACTAGTCTAAATGGCTTCTTAACTTTAATATCTGACCTCCCAAACATCTCATCTAAATGAAAAAGTTTGTTTTATAGCAAGTATTGTCAAGAGGCAGCAAATATTTTTATTCTTTTGACCAGTATTTTCAAAGAGTTGTTTTTAACTCTTTAAGCAGGAATGACACTCACATGGTAGACTTCTCCAAGACAGTTTGTTTTCCTGGAGATTCTGCAGGACATGGGCATCCTTGTGATGCTGGTATGAAGAGCCGGCCCTTGCTTGCTTGGGGAGAAGGATGTGTGGGATTAAACTAGGAACAGTGTGAGGGAACCAGAGGCTCAGGGAAGGCTAAGGGGGAAGAGTGAGGTTTATCTGACTCAGAAATGGTTGGGCAGAGTGAGAGATGGAGGTGGCAGAAGTTCCCGAATATGGAATGTGAGCAGCGGATGAGACCATGTCTCTCTGAATGAGAGTGAAGTCCACGGCTGGTACGTGGTGTTTGGTAGCCACCAAAGGTTTACAGATATTGCCTTATTTAGCCCTCACGATAAAGGAGGCAGAATTGGTATGGTCCTCACTTTCCGTCTGAGAGTGTAGCTCGGGGGAAGTAGGGCTTGCACCTGACCCCACATGTCCAGAAGCAGAGCCCAGCATTCCATCTGTTACATGGTGGCTGTTGAGACACTGTGACAAGGACGTCCTCGTCACCCAGAAAAGTAGCCAAAGGAAGAGACAGGTGTGTGGACGAGAAAGAAGAAAGGGGAAAGGCAGAGGTTCGGGGCTGTACGCTGTGTGGTGACTTGGAGCCTTGAAGGGAGAGAGGAGGAGAAAGCACCCAGAGGGTAGGCTCCTGGGCACCGTGGGCGAAAGGCCAGGGAAGGCCACGAATGGTTTGGAAGAGGGATCAGCAGAGTCGAGAGTCTCAGGTTCCCTGCAGACTTGAGTCATGGCAGAGCAGATCTGCACTGTTCCTCTGAGGTCCTGTGGGTGAAGAGACTGCTTCAGGGTACAGCCTCATGGTCGAGAGCGTAGGTTCTGACTACACGGTTTAATCCAGGGTCTGCCATGTACTTGCAATGGGACTTTGGGTAGGTTTATCTTCTGTGCCTCAGTTTCCTCATTTTCAAAACGTAGATAATAATAGTACCAACCTCATAATGTTATTGTGAACATTACATGAGATAATACCTGTGAAGCCCTTAGAACAATGCCTGATGCACAGTTAGCCCAGAATACCTTTTTTTTAAAATCCATCCAGCGTGTCCCTGGCAGGCAGATGTAGCCAGGTGGAGAAGAGGTGGCCCTATCCCAGAAGGTACACCTCCTGCCCATGGGTTACAGGGATGGAGAGAGGGTGACTCCCCTGAGCCCAAGCCGAGAGCCTGTGCCGTCATGGTAACAGCAGACTTTGTGAGGTTCTCTTGTGTTTTGACCAAGCTTTCCCCCCTCAAAGTGCTTCTGGGTGAGGTAAGGCCCTGTGACAAACAGATGTGTTTATTCCTTGAGGAGCTGCAGCCTCGCAGGGACCTCTGAGGAACTAAGGGAACCGTATGTATAACACACGGATTGTTCTTTTTTTCTGTTTTGGTTTTGACAGGAAACAGCAAGAGATTGACTCCAAAGATGCTATTATTTTGCATCAGTTTGCAAGACCTAACAATGGTGTCCCCAGTTTATCTCCTTTCTGTTTGAAAATGGAAACTTATTTAAGGATGGCTGACTTACCCTATCAGGTACTTGCGTGCAAATATGTTTTATCCTCGTGGCAGGAATGTTGGCTGGCAAGGCAGGGTGGTGGGTGATGGAGGGGAGGGGAAGTACTTACTCTCCCAGTGGGGGAAGGGTTTGCTCTTGGTGCCAGAGGAAGTGGGTATGAAAGCAGCGGTGCCCAGTTCTTAGTAGATGCTCAGGAATTTTTATATCCAGTTTAATGAGTGATCTCATTAAATCCAGAAGGGTCTGGATTTTTCATAGGTTTCAGCAGGGACCATGTTATTTTTCTCCTGACAAAGAGTATTCTTTGGTTAATGGTGTGGATAGGCCTGCTGGGTGGCTGTAAATAAAGGTGGGCCTGACACGGTTCTTTCCTTTAGGTTTCTATTTATTGGAAGAATTGTATTTATCTCTCATGAATCTTGGGGGCAGAGGATCCAGCAGGCCACCAAGGAGATATTTATAGATTTTGTGAGTTTTTCCCCTGGAACTTTTCACATTCTGTTTGGGTGACCGTCAGTGAAACACTTGCTCATTTCAGCCTTAGAGAGGGAACAGAAGAACGAATGCATTGAAAACTTACATTTTTTTCTGAGTAAGACTGGAACTGTCTCACAAATTTGACAGGTTGTGTTTTCATTGTTGTTCAGTCATATTTTTAAAAAAAATTCCCACGTTTTTCTTTTTCACTTAATTTCTAGCCATAGGCATTTAAAAAAAACAAAGTTCGGTTTTGTTATTTTTTTTAATTTTATGGTCAAAAGGTAGTCTTTGTGATATTAATTCCTTGGAATTGACTGACACTTTAGCTTAGGATATGGCTACTTGTTATAAATGTTGAGAATAAAGACATTCTCTGAGAGTAGAGCTCTTTTTATATACTTGTTTGAGCATGTTTAGTGTATCATTTAGAACTGTTGTATCTGTTTATTTTTTGTCTGCCTCCTCTAGCAGTTTCTGGAAGGACTGAGTTAAAATACTCAAGTATATTTTTTAATTTGTCTCTTTCTTGTCATTCTGTCTATTCTGCCTTTAGGTAAGAGTATGTATATATTCAAGGTTATATTGTTTAGGGCCATATGATATGAAAGATTACATCTTTTACTGTTTTATTTCTTTTTCTGGTATATAGCACTCATCTCTGTCCCTTATGAATTTTTTAACCTTGAGTTATGTATTATCAGATATTCAGATTGATTCTCCAGCTTATTTACCTGGAATATCTTTCTTCATCCTCTATTTTTTTGTGTGTGTGTGTTTGTCTCTTGTAGGCAATGTATTAGTTATAACCGATTGGAGAGTCCTTAATTGGTGAGTTTAATTTACACTTGTAATAATTATTTTATTAGGACATATTTCTAATATCTTATTTAATATTTTTCTCCTCCCTCTCCTTTTTCTTTTTTTTTTTTTCGTTTCCTGCTGTCTAATAGATAAAAAATTTTTTCTTGTCATTTAAAATAAATCCTATTTTTGTTCTTATGGCCGTTGCTCTTAAGATCCCAATTCGTGTTTATTTATCCCTACTCACTTCCGGTATGTGTCAGAATCTGTGTTTGCCTTCTAATGATACAAGTCTGTTAGTAGATTCATGTTAGTCTTGGGCTTCTTTCTTTTCAGGTCTCGTTCCAGGTGTGTTGCTATTACCTCATGTTTTAATTCTGGAATTCTGGAAATCCTTTCTCTTTTTATAGTCCTTTTTTGGCTAAGAAAACTTACCAAGTTATTTGACTAGCCTTATTTCCCATATGTCTTATCCTACAAGGTTTATATATGTTTTTCTATAAGTACTTCTTTGATGAATGTTTTGAGTGAGCCTTTATTGGGCAAGCCTTCAGTGGATTTGCATGCCCCAGAACATCTTTATTATGCTGCACATTTGATACTTCTTTGTCCAGAGTTCCTTTCCTTCAGAGCTTTAAAAATAATACTCCATTTTCTTTGTGCACTGATGTTGCTGCTGATAAGTCTGATGTTCATCTGGTTCTTTTTCTTTCTCTTTGGAAGTTTTCAGAATCTGCTTTTATGCTCGACTCTCTCTTTTTTTTAATATCTATTTATTTGGCTGCACCATGTCTTAATTGTGGCAGACGAGATCTTTTAGTTGAGGCATGTGGGATCTAGTTCCCTGACCAGGGATTGAACCCCAGTCACCTGCATTGGGAACGTGGAGTCTTAGCCACTGGACCACCAGGGAAATCCTTAATCTCAACATTCTTAACTGTCATCATACTCTGGCTTGGTGTGGATTTTTATGTATTTTCTTTGGTCCTTTATAAACCTTTTTCATCTGAAGTTTTTAATCTCTTTTTAATCCTGAGAAACTATGCTCTTCACATATTTCTTTTCCTTGTTTAATTTGTTTCCCCTTCTTCTTTCCTGTTCCTGATTATCCTGGAATCTGGATCCTAGAATCTCTGCTTTTATTTTCTGTTTCTCTGAACCTGTCCTTTATCCTTTATTCTTTTCCGCTTCCTCCTTGGAGAATTCACTTCTCTGAGCTTCAATTGCATCCCTCTATTCTCTTCTTGTAACCATCCTACTATTTATCTCATCCATTGTGTTCAACTTTGCATTTTTCTTCTTACTATTTCCCCTTGGTTTGTATTACAACCCCTTCCTTTATCCCTTGGAGGGTATTTCTTATGCTCATTAATTAAATCGGTACCTCCCAATCATTCTGCCTTATGTTGTACATTTTTAGTGTGCTGCCCTTCTCTTAGTTACTGTACCCCTTAGATGTCTAGTTAATTTGGTTTGAGATCTCCTCTTTCCAGGGATGTTAGCTTCCCTGCCCAGGACTTTGCACTGGGAAAGGTCTAAAGCTTAAGACACAGGCTGTGTGCTTCTGAAGGAATTTAAGTAAAGTAAGGAGGTGAGCCCCAGGCATCCCCACACCACTGTGATTCCTCCAGTTTGCTGCATTTCCTCCAGATGGTCAAGGTTCACCATTAAGCTCTTACAAAGCAGCAGCGTTGGGAGGGGTGGTTGTCTTAGCAGGAAGCAGAGCAGCTGCGAGGTTAGAGAGGGAGGTCCCTCACCTAGCCAAGCTTTTGACTGCCCTGTTAATGATGTTACCCCTCCCAGTCCTGCCTCCCAGGGGCCTGTGCTTTCTGAGCTGGTTTCTCTACGGAGAGGGCATGTGGGGTGGAGGTGTGTGGCACTGATCCTCCTAAGGCAGGGCTGGGAGAGTTGAATGACGTGCTCAGTTTGGTCACTGGTCCTCTGGGAATATGACACTAAACCTGGATTTCAGGCTGGGAGATCTGGGAGAGCAGAAGATGCTGGGAAAGATTGAAGGCAGGAGGAGAAGGGGACGACAGAGGATGAGATGGTTGGATGGCATCATTGACTCAATGGACATGAGTTTGATTAAGCTCTGGGAGTTGGTGATGGACAGGGAAGCCTGGAGTGCTGCAGTCCATGGGGTCGCAGAATCGGACACGACTGAGTGACAGAACTGAAGGTGATCCAGGTCTTAGACTCACAGAGGGTCTTTGTGAGTGGAACTGGAATGCAAGGGGTGAGTCTGGACAGAGAGGCGGGGAGATTATTCAGGATTTTGGAAGCCAGCAATGGAGGAGAAAATAGCAAAAGACCCCACAAGGCTTGAATCATTGTCCAGTTGGATCTGAAAGACGCTTGCTCAGCTTGGGGTGGGCAGTCAGAGCTTGCAGGCGTGTGTCCCCGAGGGACTCACACTGGACGGAGGGACTGCTCCCCAGCGGCCGCTTGCCACTGGTCCCTCATCATCCCCGCCACTTCACTGCGGTTAGCCGCGACCGCTTCTGGGCGTGAGGCCCCGGGCCTGTGCTTTCTGCTCTGTGGCCTCCTGGCTCGCTAGATTTCCTGTGCCCCCCGCCCTTGGTGAAGTCATCCTGTGGGCAGTGGTGAGGCAGCTGCCAGGCTGTGTTACCTTTTCCTCCTCTGGTGGCTCAGACAGTAAAGAATCCGCCTGCAATGCGGGAGACCTGGGTTTGATCCCTGGGTTGGGAAGATCTCTTGGAGAAGGGAATGGCAGCCCACTCCAGTATTCTTGCCTGGAGAATCCCGTGGGCAGAGGAGCCTGGTGGGCTACAGTCTATGGGATCACAAAGAGTTGGACACTAACACTTTCCTTCTAAAAAACAGAAGGTAGATGATACCATTTAAAAAAAAAATGTATTTATTTTTGCCTGCACTGGGTCTTCACTGCTGCACGTGGGTTTTCTCTCGTTGCGGCTCCTGGGCGCTAGTGAGCAACCTCAGTAGCTATAGTGCATGGGCTTCATCACTCCATGGCCTGCGGGATCTTCCTAGATCGAACTGTGTCCCTTGCATTGGCAGGAAGATTCTTAACCACGGGACCACCAGGGAAGTCCTGCCCTTTGTCCTTCTTGCCTTCAAGCCGTCAAGCTCTTAAGTGCTCTCCCAGTGGCCTAACCACCGCTGGTCATGTTTCAGGCTTCTGCTTTTCGTTAGCATAGCTGGAGCAGCTGGACACATGCCTGGCTCTGAAGCCTGGAGAAACCTTTAAGAGGGGGACTGCTTACCCCTTCTAAAATTATTATTTCCTGTTAAGTTATATTTTTTTATGAAAGGAGTGATACTGGAGTGTTTCTTCTTCTGTGAGGTCTCTATGGAAAATAAATGAAGTGGGTGTTCATCAGGGTAGGTAACAGGAAGATGGTTTTATGATTTAGAAAGGGATGCTCTGATCCTGTCTCGGGGGTGGGGGTGGGGATGGGGATCCTTTGAGACCTTATGCATCCTCAGTGAGGGTTTGTGTTGTTGCTGGTGGTGCCTGGGAAGGACTATTTGGGCTCTCTGCTTGGAGGATCAGGAGAGAGGTATTTTGTCATCAACCCAGGGAGCACTGCCCTCTGCCCCTTCTTTGCCCTGTGCCTTTAAAAAAAAGATTAAAATGTCATGTTCCTAAGAGCATGACTTTATATTTGAAGCTTTTTTATTTTTTAATCAAAATGAGACAGGGATAAATATTTGATGACCATTAGTAGGACCTCACAGGGTTTTCTTAAAAAGCCTTTGTTGCAGTTGTTAGCTTTTTAAAATAAGGATATAAATATTGGTAGATGAATTTTTAAAACTTCATTTTCTTATAATTATAGATTCATAGGAAGTTACCAAAAGATGTAAGGAGGTCCTGCAGATATGGTTATTTTTTTTTTCAAAATGAAAACAGCTTTACCATTTGTTTTTCTGATTACATTTGGATGACATGGCCCTTATAAGAATTTTGACAGTTTCAACAAAGTGTCAGTGGAAAATGAAAATCGATGATATCCTACTAGCTGGAGATTATCATCACAAATACTTCTGAGCATCTTTCCATACTTCTTTTTAGACATACATACATAAAGACATACATACATAAAGGGCTCCCCTAGCGGCTCAGATGGTAAAGAATCTGCCTGCAATGAGGGAGACATGGGTTTGATCTCTGGATCAGGAAGAGCCCTCGGAGAAGGGAATGGCTACCCACTGCAGCTCTGGCTGGAGAATCCCATGGACAGAAGAGCCTGGGGTCACAAAAGAGTTAGACATGACTGAGTGACTTTCACATAAAGGTACCTGCATCATTTGCCATAAGTGATTGTATAAGAAGCATGTATTTCACACAGTCGTTCTTTTTAAATCTGAGAAAGAAAAGAGAAGGAAATGGCTTTTTTCAAAACTCTGCTCTGGTTCTTAGCTCTGACTTCTGATGTTCTGTTTATTTGCTGCTTTTTGTTTGTACACCACCCTCCTGCCTATACCACCCCCACCATCTTTTTGTTTTTACTTTGGGGTGCATCTTCAAAAGAGAAGGACATTCTTCTACAAAACTGTAGTGTGTAGTTATAAAGGAAAGTACTCAGATTTTTCCTTCCTGTGTAGGGGAAGCCAGTCCCTCCCTACTGTGTGTTTCTCCCCATGAGTCTCCTTTGCGACTCACATGAAACACTTCATTTCTGACTCTTCTGGTCAAACATGAGGCCCACAGCAGTCAGTCCTCTCTGACACCAGCTGGACGTTATTCAGTCGCTCAGTCGTGTCCGACTCTTTGCAACTTTGCGACCCCATGGACTGTAGCATGCGAGGCTTCCCTGTCCATCCCCATCTCCTGAAGCTTGCTCAAACTCATGTCCATTGAGTCGGTGATGTCATCCAACCATCTCATCCTCTGTCGTCCCTGCCTTCAGCTGGACAACCTACACTTCAGTTCAATCCTGATGCTACCCAGAGGCAGGATCAGATTCCCTGGGTTAAGTCCCACAAGACTGCCCCCTGCTTTAGATGCTAGTCACAATCCCAGATTGTCACCTGTGCTTCTGACCAACCAACTGTAGATCAGAGGTTCTAATGACCCCTCAGGTTTGATTACTAGTCTACAGCAGCTCACAGGACTCAGGGAAACACTTATGTTTACCATCTTACTGAAGGATTTGGTGAAGGACACAGATGAAACAGCTAAATGAAGAGGGATGTGTGGGAGGGTCCTGAGTAGGAACGTCTATTCTTGTGGATTTGGGAGTATCACCCTCCCATTGTGGATGTGTTCACTGGCCTGGAGGCTCTTCAAGTCCCATACTTTGGGGATTTTTGTGGAGGCTTCCTCAAGTAGTGTGCACATATGTGCTAAGTCATTTCAGTCATGTCTGACTCTGTGACCCTGTGGCCTGTATGACCCTATGACCCTGTGGCCTGTAGCCCACCAGGCTCCTCTGTCCATGGGATTCTCCAGGCAAGAATACTGGAGTGGGTTGCCATGCCCTCCTCCAGGGGACCTTCCTGACCCAGGATTGAACCTGCATCTTTTAACATCTCCTGCATTGGCAGGTGGGTTCTTTAGGGAAGCCCTCCTCCATTATTTGTGACCGGTTAATAACTCCATGTCCAAGCCCTCTCTGCTTTCTGGAAGATGGGGGAGGAGGTTGAAAATGCTAAGCTTCTAATTGTGATTTGGTCTTTCTGGTGACCAGTTTATCCAGGAGCCCACTCAGAGTCACCTCCTCAGAACAAAAGGTTTTCCTCCTGCTTTGATCACTTAGGAATTTATAAGGATTTTAGGAGCTCTGTGCTGTGAACCAAGGGCAGAGACTCATGCATATATTTCTTATTCACAATAATGGATGCATGAGTTTTTTTCTCAACATGTTATATAATCCACAAAAGGTGCTCAAATTAGCTCAAATTTACCCAGTGGGGGACCTTTCAAGATGGTTCCAGAGGTGCTGTGAATGTAATGGATACAAATTTAACTGAAAAGTTGGGGGCTCTGTGGCCAGTGTAGCATGTCAAAGTTCTAAGACTGGGATTTCTCTGAAGGTTGCAAGTTCTCCATTTTGAAATGGGGATGGTGTTGTTAATACTTCTGATAAAGGCACTCTGCCAAACACATTGTGCGCATTTTCTCATTTAATTTTAGCCACTGCTGTTCTCCCAATGGGCTTCCCAGGTGGCACTAGTGGTAAAGAACCCGCCTACCAATGCAGGAGACATAAGAGACGTGGTTCAATTCCTGGGTTGGGAAGATCCCCTGGAGGAGGGCGTGGCAACCCACTCCAGTGTTCTTGCCTGGAGAGTCCCATGGACGGAGGAGCCTGGTGAGCTACAGTCCAAAGGGTCGCAAAGAGTCGGACACTACTGAAGAGACAGCGTGGCATAGCATATTATCCCAATTATATATAGATGAATCCAGGGGGATTAAGGGAGACCAGGGAGGTCCAAGGTCACACAGTGACTAAATGAGGGCGCCAGATTTTTAAACCCAAAGCCTATGGCTTTCACTGATGTGCTAATAATGTAGCCTAAGTATAGATGCATTAATCTCATCTAGGACAGACTTGCAGGGGAAAACATCGGCTTGGCAAAGATAAAGAGGATTTACCTCTTCATCATTCTTCTCAAAATTACTTTCAGAAACTTGTTGGTGGGCCAGTCAGTCTCCAGTTGCCTAAATAAAAGTAGACCAGGAGTTCTTTAATATGTTTAAGGAAGTTAAGGAAAATTAAGTATTATTTAAAAATTATATAGATTTATTTTTAAATGAATATAGCATTCAGAAAAATTGAAATTCATGAAAAAAGATTACCTGCATCTCACACTTAGTTTTGCTGGTTACTTTGGACACTTTTGTGTTTCTCTTTAAAAATATTTTTTGAATTCATCTAATCTTTAGATATTTTCATAGTATCTCTAAAATGTTGTCTCCTGCTTCCTGGAGTAGGAAGTGGCAACCCGATCCAGTATTCTTGCCTGGAAAATTCCATGGACAGAGAAGCCTGGTGGGCTGCAGTCCATGTGGTTGCAAAGAGTCAGACACATACTGAGAGCATGAACACGTGCACACATGCCCCCACCCCCCCAAGAAAGCATATGTACAAGTCTTTGCATGGACATACGCTTTCTTTTCTCTTAGGTAAACACCTAGGAGTGAAATGGTTGGATTGAGTGGCAGGTGTGTACTTAGCCTTTTGAGAAATTATCAAATGGTTTCAAAGTGTTTGTGCCATTTTACATTCCCGTCAGCAATGTCTGAGAGTTCAGTTTCCTCCACAGGAACCAACATTTGCCTACTAGTCCATAGTATCTGAACTGTTGACTTGTATGAAGTATGAGAAGTTTGTAATAATCTGATTAATTTAAGCTGTGTAGACCCTCCAAAACTGGATTCAGATTTAAAAATCAACTTTGAGGTTCACACAGTCCAAATTTACTGAGAAAAGCATTTGAATAAATGCGATCATTATCACAGAATCCACTCCATCAGTGTGGTTAAGATCTTTTTATACAGGGATCAGAAGATGTGACCCTGTCATTCTCAATGCTTATAAAATCTGTGACTCCATCCCCACCTCCCACCAACCCCGTTTTGGGATCAGAATCTCCCCTGAGACACCATAAACTTCTGGTGTGGGTATGAATCAAAGGGAGGTTGTCAAATGTACAGATTTCTGGCCACCTTCCCCTGGATTCTGACTCAGTGATCCGGGTGTGGGCCTAGGAATCTGCATTTTCATAGGCACTGGAATTGAGTCTGTTGGGCACATTTTGTTATATCCTGCTGTTGTAATTTCTGGGACCACTTGTTTGCAATATGGTGGCATTATTGTAAGCATTTTCAAGTGTAAGGTACTGTTCCAAGTGAGGTTTCTGATCAGTAGCCCAATCAGTATATGCCTCCTTATGGTTTATTTTCACTTTCTGTGTTTTTGGATTGTTCATACATTATAATTAGACTGACTCTGACCAGGATGAAGATCATTTCAGCTCTCATCTTCCTTTCTGCTCTTTAAAAAAAGAAAAAACAAAAACAAAAACCCAGTAAGCCAGAACAGTAAGGGCTTCCCTGGTGGCTCAGATGGTAAAGAATCTGCCTGCAATGTGGGAGACCTGGGTTCGATCCCTGGGTTGGGAAGATCCCCTGGAGAAGGGCATGGCAACCCACTTCAGTATTCTGGCCTGGAGAATCACCATGGACAGAGGATCCGGCAGGCTACAGTCCGTAGGGTCGCAGAGTTGGACACAACTGAACGACTAAGCACACACAAGCCAGAACCCATGATAAAATGTATGGGAGTAAAGTAATATTTTCATGTGAGATAAACCTTTTTTTCCCCCAGATTAACTGTTTATCCCCTTAAGAGTTTTTAATGCTGATTTCATTCTCTTGAGTAGTGCAGTCACTATCAAATATACTGTTGGAATGTTTGTTTCTGTTAACCACACAGTGAAGTTTAAATAAAACTTTGCTTTTCTCTTTACAATTTACTCTGCTTAGAATTATTTTGGTGGAAAACTCTCTGCTCAAGGGAAAATGCCTTGGATTGAATATAATCATGAAAAAGTTTCCGGGACAGAATTCATAATTGACTTTCTGGAAGAGAAACTTGGAGTGAATTTAAACAAAAACCTTGGTCCTCATGAACGAGCCATCTCCAGGGCAGTGACTAAGATGGTGGAGGAGCATTTCTACTGGTGAGTCCCCCCGGGTGCCTGGGCGGGTGTCCAGGGTGTGCCCCCGTCCTGTGAAGCAAGCCAAGTTGTTTCACATTTCAGCTCCCCCTCCCCCACCGCCGCACCTTTTCCAAAGTGTTCTACATTCTGACTGACTTAGGGGTCAAAACTATGACTTAAGTCCCTAGGTATCTAGAGCAGAATTGACATTTTCTGTTGAGGCCCAGCTAGTACATATGTTAGGCTTTTTGAACTACATTTGTCTGTGGCCACTACTTAATTCTGCGGTTTTAGTGCAAAAGCAGCCATAGATGATACACACATGAATAAGTATCACTGTGTTTAAATAAAACAACAAAAGCACTGACATTTGAATTTCATTTAATATAAAATACTGTTCTTTTGATTTTTTTCCCCCCTCAACCATTTATAAATATGAAAACTTCTTAGCCCTTGTGCTATAGTTCCTTACCCACAATCTAGGTCACTGAAATGAGGGAGATAGACTGGGCTTTTTACAAATACAAACTGCTGAATTAATGTTGCATCAGATACTCAGAGGAGGGAACAGAAGACTAAGGCAGATAGAAGTCTCTGGTGAAATAAATTATGCAAGCTTTGCAGAGTATTGTCAGTTTTCCCTGTATGATAAGAGCTTCTCCATGATCCAGAATAAAGCTTACTACTGTTTTCTGAGTACCTTTGCCTTGATTGGCTGACTCCGAGCTTGTACTTTGCCCTGATTGGCTGACTCCTGGCTTGTACTTTGCCCTGATTGGCTGACTCCTAGCTTGTACTCTGCCCTGAGTGGCTGACTTCCAGCCCGTATCCCCTGGGTTTGAAGCATTGCACACACTGTGTGGGTTAGGTGCCCTGTTTTGCAGATGGTATGCTGCTGTGACATTGTGTGAGTTAGGCAGACTTGGTTCTTCTTGCTTTACAATCTCATTGAAATGTGGGGTGGTTTTTTTTTTTTTTTTCCATTTATCTTCTGGAGTTTTAGCCCTTCTGTATACTCCAATAGGTAAAAAATATTTTTTCCTTCATTTCTGCACTTTATCTTGTTCCAAAGATTTAATAAAGAATTGCTGAGTCCACTCTTACTGGGCATCAATTGTTACTCCTAGGTCACTGCTCACTGAGTAGCTTTCACCTCTTCCACTGAGAGATACATTCAATGTGGGATTGATTGTAGAAAGTTCTTTGCCATCACATTCCTATTTCATACATTCAGCTCTTTCTAAATGGAAACCTTGTCTCTTGAATTTTGTACCTTCTGCTTTTTTGCTTATTCTTTTTCCACTTTCAGTTCTTGCCCACTTTATTCTAGGACTGACCTGGAGCATCACTTTCTTCTCTGTCTCGCTGCAGAGTTGAAGGGGGTGGGAGGAAGGAGGGAGTCAGGCAGAGTGGCGGCAGGGGTGCAGATCAGTGTGGGAATGATCACAGACTCCGTGTGGCCTGTTCTTTACAATACTTGTGGAGAACTGCTGGCCCTTCCCTCTCAAAGAGTGCAGGTGTTGCAGTGTGGACCGAAATGCGTGAGTGCAGGTGACACGCTTAGCCTCAGGGAAAAGCCCTTGGGGGACAGAGTCATCTCACTTGCTCACTGGGGGTTACAGGTCCCGCTCTGCAGTGATCAGGAAAATGAAGAACCAGCCTAGGGCCATCCAGGCTCTCTGAGCCTTCCCTTGCTGAGCCGCCCCCCACCCCCCACCCCCAAGTGCTCCTTCATTTGATGGATGGGCCCATTAATAGGGACAGCTAGCACTTTTTCAGCTGCCTGAAAAGCTGAAAGCCTTACAGTTAAGTTGGTATGTTTGCGACACTCTTTGATTTCTGTGTGTGCTAAGTGTGCGTGCGTAAAATTTATATTCGGCTTAGAAAGACTTTGATCCAGCAAGACTTCCAAGTACCACCTGTCACTGCTTCTTGCTCTGGGTATTAGTGACGTGTTATATATGTTTACTCCCTGATAGAAGTTCATCTTCTGTTCTTCCCTTCTCTTCTTTTCCTCCTGATGTGATGAGGGGGCAGGGTGTGGTGGGGAGGGCTGGGAGGGAGCCTTGGGAGGTGGTACTCCAGTGGGTGAGGATCTGAATTTTACAGATCACACACCCTCAAGTGCTTGGGAAGTTGCAAAGGTCATATGTAGATTCTTCTCTTCTTAATTAAAAAATAGTAATTTTTCATTAGGACTTTAAATTTTTTTTATTTTTTGAGTGTGCTCGTTGCTGGGTGGGTTTTTCTCTAGTTGTTAGTGGGGCTACTCTTGGTTGCGGTGTGTAGGCCTCTCGTGGCGGCTCCTCTTGTGGTGCACGGGCTCTAGGTTGCAAGGGCTTCAGTAGTTGCAGTTCCCAGGCTCCAGAGCATAGGCTCGATAGTTGGGGCACGAGGGCTTAGTTGCTCTGTGGCATGTGGGGTCTTCCCGGATCAAGAATCAAACCCGTGTCTCCTGCACCCGCAGGTGAACTCTTTACCACTGAGCCACCAGGAAATCTCTTAATTAGTATTTTTAAATTAAAATACAAACAGCTTACTTTTTGGGGTTAGTTACTGTTTCTCATTTGTGTCTCCTCAAGCATTAATTTGAGAAATGAATAGTGAAGGTGGGAGGTGAAGTCTTGATGGAGATACAAATATCCAGTGACCTTTCCAAAAAAAAAAAATTCGAGTTCCTCCAATTTCTTTTAGTCTTCAGTAGCAGAAGGAAAAACAAACTTTCTCTGTTTAAGTTTCCAACCTTTAGCTAACTTCTTGCTTTGGGGAGATCCTGAACAGCCTTTCTTGAGAGCTCTAAATCCCAACACCCACCCCCTCTACCCGGCGCAATCCATGGTAAGAAAATGCATGCCTGTGGAAACCGAGGGCCAGCATAGGGAACTGACCACAGTATGTAGGAAAATATTACAAGTATGAGCTTTCCGTGAGAGCTTGTTGAATTTTCACCATCGATGAGCTCTAAGGTTGTGTTTATACTTACAGAAGTGTAACAGGGAGAATTAATTATTTGACTCAATTGATTCAGTTATCTGGAGTTTTCAGAAAGGTCTGTCTTGCTCTGAAACTTTAAAAATACTCTACTTCAGATACGATTTTCTGAAAACAAAGACTCCTGTCATTATATAATGAAAACTTGATCTAACATCATATAATTCTGAAGCTCTGAATTAGGCCTTTACAAAAAGCACACTCAGCTATAAAGTGGTTTTTTCTTGCACTTGAAACCCATACAATTATATCCCACTTGCATTATAAATGCTATTATTGAAGATGAAGGAGACAAGTTTTTTATCCCCTTTATTTCACTGGATGCTGAAGTTAAGTGCAGGGAAGCCAGAATAAAGCAAAGTGTGAGAGATTTGGGGTCAGATTACTGGAATGAAATTGTTTTGATAACAGATGCTATAGCGGCTTCTAGATGACATACTGTCCCCTTGTGGACACTACTGAGTGTCGTGTGTGTGTGTGTGTGTGTGTGTGTGTTAGCAGCTCAGCTGTGTCCAACTCTTTGCGACCCCATGGACGGTAGCCCACCAGGCTCCTCTGTTCATGGAATTCTCCAGGCAAGAGTACTGGAGTGGGTTGCCATTTCCTTCTCCAGGGGATCTTCCCAGCCCAGGCAATGACCCTGGGTCTCCCATGTTGCGGGCAGATTCTTTACCTTCTGAATCACCAGGAGTGTCTTAAGCTCTTCTAATCTCAATGGTATCGGGTACCATTGTCAAACTCCCTATAGTCATAACAGTTTCACCCATAAAAATAGATGTTAGAAAAGAGGATTCAAATCACTTCTAGGTTGGCTATAATTAATTTTTCCTGTGGACTATTTTTTAAAGTCTTTATTGAATTTTTGTCAATATTTTTTCTGTTTTATGTTGTTTTTTTTATCCCCCCCCCCCCCCCACCAGAGGCATGTGGCATCTTAGTTCCCTGACCAGTGATCAAACCTGCATCCCCTGAATTGGAAGGTCAAAATTTTATTTATTTATTTATTTATTTTATTATTTTTTTTTTAGGGGTTCAGGTTTTATTTTTGAGTTAAGATTTTTCAGAATAAAAGGACAAAGTCTTAGGCACTCAAAAGAGAATTTCTTAGACAAAGCAATATCACTAAAAGTACAGGGAAACATCCCTAGGGTGTCTCAAGACTTGAATGTCCCTTGTCCCGAATGTGAAAGTCATACCTAGCTTTCCTTTTGCTTTCCTTTCAGTGGGTGGCTCAAGGGGGTGAGATGAGGGGAACCATCAACAGGAAGATATTGCAGGAAAATAAAGTCAGTTTTGCAGGATTATATTTGTTTCCATCTAGAGACACACTTCCTGTTTAAATGCTACAGCCATTTCAGAACATGAAATTCATCCCCCTAAAAATAATTTTCAAATAAACACAGACTGTGCAGCCCACAGAAGCTACTACAGGTTACATTGGTTTTTTGCCCCAACTCCTATACTAAATAAGGCCTAGTTACTGAGGAGTAGCAATGGCCATTTATCCCACTAGTCTATGGGCAAATGTCCCATCTGAAAAAAATCTCCTCCTCCCTCCTCCCCACTACCCCTGGGATGCAGCCAGGGAGCCTTGGTTAGCAACTGTTCTCAGGTCGGAGGGTCAAATTTTAATCACTGGACCACCAAGGAAGTCCCATTTTTAAAAATTTTGAGTTTGACTTTTGGTGAGTGGGGGAGATGGGATGCTTTAATAGAAGGACTTACCCGAGATTTTCTCTAAAAGCCAGGAGACTCTGTCTCCTTGATTATAACTCGATTGAAGTGGTCCCCTCTCCTTTCTGTTTTGTATCCCTCCCCCCAGTTTTAGATGCAGTGAGGGCCCCGTTCAAAGAGGCATTTCTAATACTGGGAAAGGTGGTGAAATTACGAAGCACACCATGTGCTCCTGCACCCTAGAGCATCTGGAGTACAAGTGAAAGGTGACAAGGAGGTAGTAATGTGACCAGGAAAAGGGCGTTCTCATGGTTGGAAAGGCCACATGCTGAGATCCAGTCAGCAAACAGTAGGTT